ATCTTCCTGTATGAATAAAGGATAAATAAATAAAAATAAAAAATAAAAATATATAGAATAAGAATTGGTTCAAAGTCTGCCTCTGGTTATAAGGATGCATATCACCCATTTTGAGCTAAATAATGTTTCAACCGTCTCTTTGGCACTGTACAGATTCATTCTAGTATTATCCATATCTAAAAAACGGTTGAATTTTCTTAACACTGCAAAAGTCTTTACCTGAAATGAATAATTTCTTCATTCTTTAAGATTCTGTTTCTAGAAGTGTTTTGAAAAAGACAATTGGTTCCTTAGACCATTTCACTGTAATCTAATCATCTGCTATCATGTTAACATGTGATACTTAGTCCTACTTACAGAACAATATCACTWCAGTAAGTTAAATGTGTTACTTGGTACAAGTACAGTTTATAAAAAACAAGCTCATAACGAAGATATGGATAATAACTGCATTGAGTAYGAAACCACCCAATCAGCAGCGCTGGTAATATTAACCAAACACTGCTTCTGGTCAGTTACATGTGCTCGCCACTGTTCAGTCAGTAGTGAAGAAAAACAGTCTTCCACAGACAATTGTTTGTGTGAGAACTAACCTTTTAAGGAATCCTGCTCAGCCCTCATAATGTCAATCAAAGAGTTCTCCAGRGACTGCATACTGAAACCATCAAAAGACCGTGTCCTCTCCTGCTGAAAGAAAGAAAAACAGTTAAGAATCCATGCTTCACTTCTACAAGATTAAAAAACAGCAAAGGCCACAAGCTCTCTTACAATGCGTGCTAGAATTCTAACATTTATTAATAGGAAAAAAACACCAGCGACCATCTAAGATCTGTTGAACAAGATCGTTAGACTTCACTGTACACCAATCATCTGTAAAGTTTCACTATTGAGTATATAAAAAAGGCTGAGGGCATGCAAAGCAGCAGAGGAGCACAAGACTTCTTAAATCAGGACAAGAGGAAGCACATGTGATCAGACCAGATGATAAGACTGCTCTCATTTAACCAAATGGTCTAGATAAGATCAAAAACACAGGCACGCGCACACGGTTTCTGTTCATCCCATTTCATTGGCTGAGCTGTCAAGATCCTGTTTTRCTGAAAGACTTCTTTGTTACATTTGATACAGACGAGCGTATTTAAACAGGATTAATGTTTGTGCCTTGAAAGTACACAAGACGTTACCAACTGACAGACATAGTCCCAGTTGGATTCCGTTTAGATAAGAATGATTAAATCTATTTAGAATGTTACTGTGCTTTACAAAAAGTCTTATAATTAAATACGGCAATCAATAGGTTTGTTGGCCTACCTGGAAGGAATAAACACYGTCATTGCGGCTCATGCTGTCCTCCACCCAGCTCTTGTGATTAATGCCAGAGGTATTTCTGGGGAACTTCTGCGAGGGAACCTGCAAAAAGAGATGTCACCTTTAAATCTAGTCTTTACAAACCATCAAATCRGCGCGACAACGTGACAATCTTCATAACTTTTCGACTTGAAGTAGTCGGCTACCTGGTTGTTGGGGAAAGACTTCTTGAGCGGGGAGAAGGAGTTGAGGCCTGTCACTCCTCCCCCTATCCCCCGCCGGTAGTCTCGAACCCCTTGTGTTCCACCCCAGCTGCCGTATCCACCTGGGCTCCAAGAGGTGGTGGTGGGAGTGGACAGGCTCTGGTAGCTTCCCCAGGGCGAGGGGGGCTTGCTCTGAGCAGGGGCAAGGTGGGGCAGCTGGGGGAACGGTCCAGCGCGGTGCGGGTGCAGGGGGAAGGAGGGCTGCGGTTGATGAGGGCTAGCCGGGGAGCGCCGATGCTGCTGTGGAACCCCCTGACCATGGGGGTGAGGGGTGGGAGGGTGCTGCTGGGAGACTGGCCCAATCTGGGTTGAGAAGCCGCCGCCTACGCTAAAGCCAGGGCCAGCGTGGTGGGAGAAGTTCTGAAACAGGAGCGGAGGGCCGTTCGTGTTGGAGCCAGCGGGACCAAAAAACCCTCCGACATCTTCCCCAATCACCGGAGACTGGGTGGAGGGGACGGCAGGGGACCAGTTGTTAAATGTGGTCAGTGAAGATGAGGAGGAAACGGACTGCGCGCAGCTCGTACCCATCCCCAGGCTGTCCTGGTACTCGAAGGCGCCCAACACCGGGGACTCCATTCTCAGCTTCTCCTTCCCACTGCTGCTCTCCAAGGAACCCTTCTCCAAAGYGACGTCTTCAGAAAGAGCTCCCTCGAGCTCCGCCAGACCTCCTCCGGGGTCCTGCTGGCCTGGAGACAGGGCCTGAGGCTGCACCTGGGCTTTTTCCTGCAGGTCTTGTAAGTCCAAAGCCTTGGACTTGTCCGACTCCAGAATCTCATCTTGCATGTTACTGTGCTGGGCTACAGTAGGGAACAGCCAAGCGCTGCCCCCATTGGTGGAGCAGGTGTTGTTTACGAAGGAAGGGGGGCTGGGAGGGTTTGACGGGTGGTGAGGGTGCTGGGCTTGAAGGTGAGGAGGAATCCTAACGGGGAAAGCAGATTTGTTACCGCTGCCGTTCTTCACCAGAACTCCAAAGCCGTAGTCCCCCATTTAGGACACCCAGTGAATTTTCCCAATYGTTTGGCTTTCACCGTAGTTTTTATCCTAAAATGTGGATTTAAAAAAAAGGGAAAGAAAAAACAATAGCAAACAAAGATTAACATCATCACTAATGAAATAATAAAAAAGACAAATCACAAAAGAAGCCTTGCCAGACGCAGTGAATGTGCTTGTGCTGCAGCCTGCCTGGTCTTGTGATGCAATCAATGAGATTAAATCATTGACTGGCTGGGCCATGGGAGGCCTGGATGAAATATAACACTTACAGCAGGCAGGCAACCACGGAAAACACCCAACCTCACCAGAGCAGGCGTCTAACAGCCTGAGCTGGCGGAGCTGACGTCTCCAAAGGTCGTTAGGCAGCTAGCAGCAAAGCTAACAGCTGCTCCACCACCTCTCTATGCGTCCTTTTAATCACGCACAGCCAGAGTCAGTCAGATTTAAACTAGTTCCGTTCCGTACAGGGCGAACCTGAAGGCTCAGACACCGTGCTGGGCCACAACACGCACACCTACCGACTTTAATGTCGCTTTCCCTGCAATGACCTCTTCTTTCGCGACCATTTAAATACAGGAAAATGTTGATGACGTCTCTCGTCTGTTCTGAATCTAGGGTAGTTCCCTTCACCAAGCCGCTACAGACGTTGAGGCATATTTGCAAACCACCCCGGGGAGGCGATAAACGACCTCAACTGCTTTTAACGTCGCTGGAAAATTTCGCAACACGTTTATCGGCGACATACATTTCGACAGAAGGACATGACAAGCCGCAAACGGTGTGTGGCTCTTTAAACGACCTCGTCTGTTTCGTGTCCTGCTGTACGTTCAATGTCATACAACCTACCAATCCTTGTCATCTTTTTCACATCTCGAAATGCCGCAGCTCGGTCTCAGCCTTTTCTTTAACCTATTTACACGCGACTACAGCTGGCGTTACGTCGGTTATAGCTACCTTCAGTTCGGCGTCATGACCTTATCGTTTAAATGTGGCCATATTTCAACGTTTTCCTCTTTTTTTTTCTGTGTTTCCTAAGCAGCCGGTGTAAATGGTCTCTTCTCTCTGCTAGATGACAGCTGGGCCAGTCGGGAGACACTTCCGTCTACAAGCTCCGCCCTCATCATGGTCCTCCAGCCAATGAATGAAAGGAATTTACTTGCGACACCCCTCCGCTGTAACTAGAAGCTGCAATTTGATTGGATAATTGCAACAAGAAACCCGCCCACAGATTTCATTCACAATGAATGACAGATGCATCTCCTTCCAAATAAGGATGGTATGAGTGAAATATATAAAAAAAAAAAAAGTTCGAGGCAAATTCGGCCTACAGTCTACCATGAAGAGAACGAGCAGTCTGTGCAAAAGTCATGAGCTTTTTATATTCGTTTCAAATTATGCAGACATGTTTATAACGTTTGAATTGTTCTTGATCACTCGGTTTCCCAATAAGCTTGCTTTTCAAAATTCCTTAATAACCCAGCCATTGCACCTGGTCATTTTTAAGGTAACCTCCTAAAAATTGACCCACAATTTATTCAATAATAACATGGTGATTCTAAACTGCCATATTAAATGTGTCATGCATTGTGTGAATCAACCAAAGTTTGTCTTTTCCCTCACTATTTTTAAGCAAAAGGTCATGTAAATGTATATATACATCAGGTCATTCATATATATGTGTGTGTGTGTGTGTGTGTGTGTGTGTGTGTGTAAAAAGACTCACAGCTGCGAGCGTGCCTGAATACGTGGGAGCATCCAGGAGAA